TACAGTAACGAAGTAAAACTACTCCGTTACTGTCCACCACTGATGAGGACACATCATGTCAGCTTTCAACTGTGTGCTAATGTTTTAACGAGTTGTGCAGAACTATAATGTAAACATAAACACGTCTAAAATGACAGCTTAAATGTTTAACTTTAATTGGATAGTCAATAACAATTTGCTGTTTACAATTCAAGCTCACGTTTTAGTTTCACGTTAATTTTCAGTGGTCTACCAAAAAAAAAAAAAAGTAGGCCTATTTGATTACTAAATGATTTTCTACTCTAAATGTATGTTATTTTTCTTTAAATAAATATATTTTTATGTAACTGCAAAAAATTAACTATTTTTGTGTAAGTGAACTATTGGTTTAAAATGCAGATATGTTTAGCATCATTAGGGGTAATGTTAGTAATACAAATGTGACTTTTAATGCCTGATATTTTTTCCAGCACACCTGCTGCAGGTACGGGTGGATTTGCATTTGGAGGGTTTGGCACGCCAACATCCACACCAGCCGCCACCAGTACCACATCCACACTGGGATTTGGGTCCAATTTATTTGCACAGAAGCCAGCAACTGGATTCACCATTAACACACCTGCCTCAGGTTCGCTGACAAACACTAATTTAATAATTTTTTATTATAATTTGGTGCCTTGATAATAAATAACATTGTCACAGTTAATTCATGTTGTTAATTTACTGTCTATTTAACACTTAGGTGCTGCTGCATCCACTACTGGCCTTACTTTAGGTAAGCAATTCTTCAAGAAAACAAGCTAGAAGAAATTGAATCAGTTTTCTTTAGTCCAGTGAGCCTCAAACATTTTGGCTCCATTGCCCCCCTATTGTCCAAAAAAGTATTTTTATAAAGCACAATTAACATCAACATTTTTTTACTCATTATTTCTACCTGATAAAATGTTATAGCTTGACTTGACTACACTGTGAATGAGAATGTGAATCCAAATGTTTAAATAAAATGAAGATTTGCAGTTTCAGTTTTTCTACTTCAAAATTTAATTTTATTTAGTGTGTTACTTGCCATTTGTGAAATTTACTAGTACTTGTATACACATTGTTTTTCAGTGCAAGAAAATGCATATTCGTTATTAAAATGCAATGCCAATTTAATAGGATAGTTCACCCAAAAATAATCATTGGCATCATTAACTCACCCTCAAGTTGTTCCACACCTGTAGGAGTTTCTTTCTTCTGTTGACCATGAAGGAAGATATTTTAAGAATGTGGGAAACAAAATAGTTGTTGGGCCCTATTGACTTCTATGGTATGGGGAAGAGAAAAAATATGGGGACCACAAACTGTTAAGTTGCCTCCATCCTTCAAAATATCTTCTTCATCCTTAAGCCTCTTGAATGTTTGCTTTGAGAACCACTGGTTAAGTCTGTCAGACATGCTGTACTGATTTCCAATTTTGTTGTTTTTGCATGTTTGTAGGGAGTCTTACCACCTCGACCGCTGCTTCTACTGGATTCAGCCTGGGCTTCGGAAAGCCAGCAGCCTCCGCTACA